GCTTGGTGTTTGACAGTTTAAAATAACATTGGCTTTCCCAATTTCAAATGTGGTGTTATTCTATCGGTTTATGTATTGGTTTGCGGAAATGCCAACCAGTACAGCGTTGTTTTCTATGAAGAATAAACTAATTTATTAGTTATTGTAGCTTTGGATTATGTATTATTCTGCAATTACGTTTATTTTGTAACTACCCAATATTTGAAATAAATTAGACTATTTTTAAGAAACAGGTGCATTCCAAAATGTAACGATAAAAAAGATGGCAGTTAGAAATTTATAATCGAGTTTCTAGAGTAATATACCAAATATCACAAGTTCCAAATATCTGGCACGTTGTTTCGGAGAATCGTGACGTAGAATTTACCGCATTGTTGCCAAAATTCTGTAACGGTCGAATAATGTAAAATAATTATATCGGAATCAAAAGCAAACTAGTAAAGGTAGCTACATTGATAACGAATAAATAAATACTAGTTAATATTCATCATAACCGTTTTTGGCAGGTCCGTGACGTCATAGAGTTATATTTTTATACAGATGCGCAAGCGTCGGTGTGGATGCCAAGGTTGCTCTTGTATTTACGTTTCTTTATGTGCAAAGAATACAAATTATTATTCTAGTTACTTTTATCACTGACCACGTTTCAGTCTCGCTATTCAGTTTTACGTAAATCACGGAAAACTATCAAGGTTATTTTGTACAGAAATGCTATACATACATATCTAAGTATCTATTTATATGTTCCACAGATAATATTAGAAGGTGATCACTTCAGTGTATGCTATGAATGCATGTTGTAGTACTATTCAAATGTCTTGTGGTGAAATCAATGAGTCATCTGTCGTTTTCGCCTGTACCTATTAGCTTATGACGTTGCTACAAATGCTGACCATTACATCATCAAGAAATGTGGATTCCCCACGCGTTCTTTTAGTATCGTTTGACGATAAAAATATACTGATTACTAATAACTTGTTTATTTGATTAATTGATAATATAGGGCTGAATGAGTTTTATTAGTACTGATATTTTATATGAATAAACGCAAACAAATACACCTGGATGATGGCGCGTTGACCTCAACTACTAAAATACAAACTACAATAGAGCTGTAATTAATAGGTAACAAGACGCACCATAGAGTTGGCACAATGGGTTGAGTAAAGTACGATTCATAAGATTTTTACCTTATGAATTGTACGTTGATATTTGAGTTTGAATAAAATAAACCTTGCATACCAATTTCATTGAAATTTAAGGGAAATTGAATGTTTTTCTTTCTTGATCTAGAAAGAAAGGATATAAAAACAATTGTTTTCGAATTCTTGACTAAGTACGTGTAATTATTGATGATCAATATCACATTGCATGGTATTCTAAACATAATTAGAATAGTAAAATAGACATAGAATCATAAACATAACAGAAATAAAACATGCAGGTTTCAATCAATTCATCAAGTTTACTAACAAACATTATTTAAAGAATTTTTGCAATTCCATAAGATACTTCGTAGTCGGAATCAATGCATTATTACCTACCTTTAACATTTCTTTATTCAGACCTATATTACTAAAGACGTTGTTTGCATTTTAAGTGACTTTGCCGCATTATATTGTTTTATTATTGTTGAATCATAGGTACTGACAAACGTAGCCAAGTTTAAATACGTATTTGAACGAATGAAGATGTCACCCTCAAAAATACTAATTTGACAAAATCTGTTAATAGATAAATTGTACTAATGATGAAAGCGATTATCTTAATTGAGGTTTTATTGGATGGTTATAGTTTATATCTGTACCTACATGGTACATTTGTTAAAAAATGTTATGTTCAATGGTATTTTCGTGATCCTCTTTCTGGTTCCTAAGTGGATTTTGGATGGTAACCTAATAGTATAAGGCTTCATTAATTTTGTATGCTAACACACTTGCAGCAAATTTTCACTGGCTGTGGGCGGCGAGGGCTTGACACACATTGGGCACAAATCCAGAATACGTGCTACAACTGAGAATTTCTAATTACTTTACCTATTGTTACGTCTATCTTGTTCTACCTGTGTAGACACTTAAGTACCTACAATTTTATTTGTCGTATTCACTACTTGTATGATATAATATACTATTTCCTTGTTTCGTAGGAAGAGTGTCGCATATCCACATGCATCTTGTTAAAGGAACTTTCAGAAATAATATTGTTTGAAGCAGCTATCAGATTGATATCACCCTTTTATTGCGACGCTGGAAAGCGTTAGTATCGTAATACTTCCCAGGCTATCGAATTCAAACGATTTGTTTGTTATTCAATACCTCAGCGCAATCTTTGCATAGATGCCTGATCTCAAAATATTATGTGAATAACAAGTCTAAACAAACCTAGTCTTGTTTGAAACAATCGAAGCTATTTTAAACCGAGAATCGATTCCACAATTAGGTATTCGAATCGGTAAGATAATACAAGGAAAAACTTTATAACGAATTGTTGGAAACTGATTAAATTTAATTATGTTGCCCTTGCTATAGATTACACACAGATAGATAGATAACTCAATGAATAAAATGGAAGCTTCCTAACATTTTTTTCATTACCTATATTTTAAGTTTTATTTTAGATCTTATTTGGTTACTGTTAAAGTTGATGTTTGTGATCGTTTCACATTTGTTTAATCACAGGGCTTTGTCTGTACAATATTGTGTTTTAAGTAGCAAAATACAGATAACAATAGAAGTGAGGAGTAGGTTTATAAACACAGCATGATTAAAGTTAGACATTGAGCAAAGAACGTTTACAGTTACCTCGGACAGGTACAAAGTTTAAGAACACATACATGAATAAACATTTACTAACATTATCGTTGTTTACTCCTAAAAATAGGAATTCCCCAAAGGTCGTGAGCAGATTAGTACACGGAACAGCGATGACCGTATCGCTGCCCTGTTACTATAATTGTATTTGTATCTAGGTTATCTTGGTACCTAGATAGGAATCTGGCTGTCAATCAACCCACTTACGCGGCCCAGTACAACCTAGCACCACGTAGTCTGGCAAGGAAACCATTGCACATTTGCACACACAAAACAACCGGTACTTTCGTAATTAAATAAGTAACTAGGCATTTGAAATATATAAACAATTTCTATACTGAATATTTCAAGGTAATCTTACGAAATTGGTAATATAATATTGCCGAAACGTTTCGATTGTATTAATTTTGTCTCAATGGCAGTTTGTTGTTAGCTATAGTTAATATATTGACGGACAGATACAATATTAATGTAGGAAGTAGTATATTTTATCGTGTGCTCTCAATATCCTTAAGTCCTTATTGACGGTGGAACAATCTTGACCTGTTTGATAAAGTAATGATAAAGATATTTTTAGCTTCACTTGGATCGACCATTGTGCTGTGTGCAGTACTGTGAATAAGTAGATGAGTATTTTATGAGGGTTAGACGTCTAACTATATTGACTTGTGTAACAATGGCACGAAATGTAAAATCTCGCATGGAGTTTGGTACATGAGATTCGCTTCGATTTCGATGAGGAGATTCGCTTGCTTCAATTTGAATTAAAATAGTTGGATATAATAAATTGAAAAGCGTGATAGCATGTAACATTATTGTGTACCTATTTGCTTTTTTCCTGAAAGGAAAAGGATGGAATGTAGATTAGATAATTTTCCCAAAACTGGTAGAAATAATAGTAATAACAGAATGTTGTAGTGCGTATTTTGGCGATATGATAACGGCTATGTTAAATAATTGTTGAAAGAATGAATATTAAATATTTACTTTTTTGTTACGTATGTTTTATTATGATAAAGCTAAGTGGTGAGTCGACTCACGGATAGTAAACACAAAGATAAGAAGCTAAATATATATATTTATATAACGTATACGCTAAACATTTTTTTTTTTAAGGGGGGAAAATCATCGAATGACTGCTCCCGCCTGGGTGAGGCGGGAGGGAGTGTCAGACTCTTACTGAATAAAAACCACCCCGTTCGTAAAAAAAAAAAAACGCTAAACTTGAAGAACAAAGGTGTGATAGGTCATAATGTCATAAAAATTGCCTGTTCCTGTTGTTCCTCAAAGGTATAGGCAGGAATGTCCTTTTGGTACTTTTTATTAGATGTGTATTTACGTAGATTTAAACAGTCCATATTAATATATGTTAGATGCAAATATTTTTTATCGTATTACAGTGATTGAAAATAGGAGAATTGCTGTGCTCTTGTTGTAAATATCAGAATAAAATTAATATACATAATAAATAAATAAACATTCTTCTTATAAATATGTACAATACCAAAATCAAACATTTATACTTACTTTTCATAAGTGTTCAGTATCATAAACACACAAAATTCCTACTCATAATTAGTGGTAGGTACAGTATTAAATTGGTCTAAATTAATTTTAATTTGCGTCGCACTTCCCTATAACAGCAAGAGGAATACCCATTTGATAACATTGGGGGTTTTTATTATCAGTCCTTGGTACACAAGTGGGTACAACGTACTAATTCAATAGAACATAATTGTCTTCATCGCTATCTTATTTATTTTCCCAAGGATTAGAAGTGAACATAATGATAATTTAATATTACTTTTCAAAAGTTACGTCATGAGGTATCTGTATACGGGTGAACCTACACACTTAACATAATGCCACAGTTTGAGCTGGTACTGAAATTTACAAAAATTAAAACTACAATTTTCATGATCCGATTTCATGATTGAAAAAGAGTAACCTACGGAGTTTCTTACTCATTCTTCATATGAGCACTTTGGAATGAGCAAACTTGACATTTTTGAATTTTTTGTTGACGTTCAAAAGTTCCCTTCTCTAATTGAAATAAAGCTAATTGAAAATTTTAACTTGACCAAAAATTTACCAGAAACTGTCGTAATTGTCACTCCAGCAAAGTGGCAGTCTAAATACTTTTTAAATATAAGCATCAAACTCTTTAACAAGGTGCAATTTCCTTTGCAGACGACTCACAGAACGAGTGAACGAGCTGGTTCATACGGAGAATGTCTACGTGGAAAGGTTGAGACACGTGGTAGAAGACTATATGCCCAACATGAGAAGATCAGACATATCCCCCTACTTCCGAGCGTTGGAGGCAGACATCTTCGGCAATATTGAGAAGATCTTCAGGTTTCATTCTGAAGAGTTCCTCCCTGCTTTACGAGACTGTGAAAATGATCTTCGGAAGCTGGGACAGTGTTTTAGGCATTACGTAAGTGTTTATGATTAGATTTTTGTAATTTAATCATTTTAGACTCAGTGTAATTATAAATGAAGATTAATAGTTAATAGGAAGTAGTTTTGTTATTAATGCCAATCAGTAATTTAAAATCTAAATATGTTGTAATGAGTAGTCAAAAAAAATGAACTCTATATTTACAACTTTCATTTGTTTTTGTTTGAATATAAGTTTTTATTTTACAAAGTCACAAATAAACAGCTGATGAGTGGCTAATACTTACAATGATCATATCTGTACGTTCCGAAAAGTATTTTTAACTCTTCGAGTAATGACAATAGCCGCCAATGCTCACCCTGAAACAATTATCTTCCCTAACCAGAGTAAACAGTAAACGTAATGACCGATTATGTGCAAATCGGTATAAAAACATCGGTGTCACGGTCTGCCGGAGCGCGTGATTCCATGCCATGCACCGCGCTCACAAGACCGTCTTCTTTCACAGTTCTCATTGATAGAACAGACTAGAACAAGGAAACGTCCAAACAACCACGGGTCACATTTAAATCGTCCAGCACTATCTACGTGCTCAACAATTATTCACAGTACCTACCTACCTTACCGCCACATTAGCCCCTAACCTTAAGTTTTACTTAGTACAATTGTTATTGGAGAAAGTATCAGAATTTCTCTTAGATTAGCGAGCTCGTATTTGATTGATTAAAACCGAATTCAATATAAACAATACGGGGAAAGATTTACGTTACAATCACGTTATTTTGTTTGCAGGAAAAGAGATTCAATATGTACGTAATGTACTCTAGGAATAATAAGAGAGCGACGAGACTGGTATTCGAACACAAACAGTTTTTCCAGGTAAGTTTATTTCATGATATTTTTTGCGACATCCAATTACGACAAAAGGTGAAAGCCCTCTTGACAGCCGACCGTTTTAGTTTTCTAAGGTCGTTTAATGACTATTGTTTTGATGACAAACATTACGAGTTTGTCATTGAAATAAAGAGTTATCATAAAAATTCAGGATATTTTGAGCTGTACATCCGCTACGTCATTACGGGCAATCCCTGTTCATAAAAAGAACCATAGCCCCGTATCTGTTAGCTCCCACACACAAGCTGTATTAATAGAAATAGATAAAAATTAAGTAATAACATTTGATTTTATATATTTATGTGGTGTATTAAAGTTGTAGTGCAATTATGGTTTAACTGGCTACATAAGTAGGTGGTATGAATTACCGTAAAAAATAAATCGATAGAAACATTATCGGTTGGCCGCATGCACGTCTCAGTGTGCACGATGGTCGACGGACGAGCGTTATTTCCTCATTTCAGTAAAGTATACGGTGTGCTGGATGGCTGGATGGTTGTAGCAACCGCTTAACTGTTGCTGCTACCGTTATACTTGCACATTCATAGGCATTACTCGACGGCCACTGCTTCAAAAATAATATCCCGTTACGTATAAACAGTCATTAATTATACAAATAAACTTAATTCTCTCGCATTATGTGTCCGAATGTACTGGAGCTTCTCTCCTCGAGTTATATTCCAAGTTATAATTTCTGTAATGTTATTTCTTTCTTTGACTAAAAAAGCTAAATGTTGCGACATAAACGTCTAAGTTGAGTGAAAGTTTTTATTTTATTAATATAATTGTCGCGCGCCATTTCCCTCCTGCGAAGCTTCTCAGTCTAGTTGTTCGGATAAAATTCTGCCCCAGTTATCCCACACCTCGATCGCGATCACATATCATTCGACCCAAATTACGCATGAAAGCCGGTGAAAGGCTATTCAATTATATGTATTAACTAAATGTAATTCCACCGCAAACGTTTATAGGTTGTATATATTCAAACTGGCTGCTGATTAATATGTGATATTAACGTTTCAGGGAATACAATTAGAATTAGGTGATCGATTAGATCTGTCCAGTTACCTACTTGAGCCTGTGCAAAGGTTACCCAGGTACAAATTGTTCTTGGCCGATTTAGTAAAAACTTACTCAAATTATGAAAATGAGAGGAGTGAAACCGAGTCGAGGATATCGAAGCTGAGTGTGGACAGCGACGAGACTGGCGGCAGCAACGGAGAGTCTTCTGACAACGATGAGACTCCTCTGGAAAGTCTGAAGCTCGCGAAGACCACAGTTGAATGTGTTTTAACGGCCGTCGACGAGATTATGGCACTGGAAAATATTACGGATTGTCCGGTAAGTAGATCAGTGATTTTACTTTCGTATTTGATTCTAGTATTGTAGCATAATATTGCAGGACCTAAAACCTTTCCCAAAAATAAAAACAACGTAAATAATCTGGTTTTTACTGTTAGATATAGGTAGCTGACGAAATAGTCTGCAACCATAGTTCCGAATGAATTATATTGCACCCACAAATATTGTGTGGGAGTAGATAGAATTATCAACAGGCAGGTCAAGCCCTTAGATTTGAAAGAGCTTTAGATTACAAGTAAAATACTATCTTTAATAAATTTAATGTAGATACAAGCAAATAACATTTGCAATATAATGCCAGTTAGTCATTTGGAATAAACGTTGTTTGCCTCAGGCGATCGACAGCGTTTATTATCTCTGGGCTTATCATATCTCCGATAGGTGTGTTTCAAGATAAAGAGAATTATTAGTGTGACATTTTTTTCCAAATGCTTAGCTAAACATATGATTGAAGTTTTTAAGCACCTATATATCTACTCTACTCGTAAATGCTTTCCCTTTCTGATAATACCATTTACCAGGTAAATAAATGAGGGCATTATGCTGTTAATTTATAATGGCGGCGGCATAATTAATTGCACGTTATTGTTAGCAGATACCCTAGATACGTAACAATACATATTACACCGATTGCTATGCCTAAACAGAAATAGTTGGACAAAAAACAAAACAGTTTCGTGAATCTGCAAACGGTTTTGATTTGGAAATATAAATTCGTGGAAGGTTTGAGCGTTACGTGTGGGTAGGTTTCATACGAAATCTATTTGTGTCGAGGATGGTTTTAATTTAATTCGCGACACTATTGATCGTTGTTTGTTTCAGTTATATTTGAACCTGCTGCACCAGGGCCGCTTGCTCCGACAGAACGAGTTCTACGTGATGGACACTGCGCGCCGCCGCCGACAACTAATGAGGGTATTCCTCTTCGACAAGCTCGTACTCATCACTGTAGTGTATAGAAAGGTCAGTGCATACGTCTTATAGTACTCTACGTACGTACATACATAGATATGCGCCGCAGACAGTAAGGATATTGTTTTTTTTGCACTTTTTCAAGTGTCTGGCTACTTTTTCAACATTATGCCCCTGTACAATGTAACACCCACTTTTTCACTATTTATATTATGAGTCCCATGCAATAGGAGGTGAGCTTATTGCCATATACCGGGCACAATACCAGGCTCCGTGCTACTACTGAGATTTTTTTTAAAACCCAGTATTACTTTGCCCGACCCGGGAATCGAACCATATTGTATAACCATAACCATAGTCATACATACAATGCAACACAAACGCGTTAAACTGTCAATTAAACTTAATTAGATGATTATGATAGTAATAATGATCGCTTAGCAAAATTGACAATTGCCAATGATGACAAATTAGACCAAAAGATTATGTAAATGTGGCAACATTAAAATTGTTCTAAAAGGAATCAATTAATGTTTTACAGAAAGTCGGTTAAGTAATTAAGCAGCTAATTAATTAAGTAATGTCGCTCGGCAACCCCTGTTTTGACTAGAAAAGACGTCTAACATAATTGATTGACAAGCATTCTTGAACAAAACTTTGTAGGTACCTATAATATTTTAAATAATGATCTGTGATCGATTGTTAGATATTATTTTTTGATATTTTTGGTAGAAAATAATACGATTTTAAAATTCCACATAAGTGTGTTTGCTAAGGAGTTCGATTATCATGACAAGATTTTTTCGATGTAAAAAATCGTTTTAAAAGGTGTGATGAAAAGTACGCAAGTTAAAATTATCGCAAAACAAATTGACGACAGTTAACCAGAAACGGTTTCGATAGTTATTTTAGATAACAATGTAAATATTTTGATACGCGCGTACGTTAAAGTTAAAGATACTATAATATTGAAATCTTCCGGATAGCGACCATGAAGTGACGTCGACTTTATCATTAAGTAAATAAACTAGGGCAGTATGTAAGGCTAATTAATTACATCAACAGCATCTGACTGTGAGCTTCTACTTCGTAAAAGGGTTTGCTACAACCTTCACCGGAACTAAAATAAATCGTCTAATTCTGTAAACTAATAACCTATCTTAATCCTACTGGATCGATCAAAATCTTTAACAGGAACCTCATTGATAATGTTTATTTTTATTTTCAACTTTTGATAATGTTTAAAATCTGAGTCAAAGATTTTGGATTAAAGTCGATTACATATAACTTTCGTGAGACATACTTAATTAATTATTATGTTTTCGGCTTACTCACGTAATTGACGAGGGACTCGACGAGTTTCAATCCATGCTAAAGGCTCATATTCATGAGCAGTATTCCGTGTACTGCGACGCGGCGACTTAAATCGATTATTAATTTTGGCCGTATGTCGTCTTTATCGATACCTGCGCGAAGAGAAGGGATGGCGACAAATGTATTCTATCAAACCGTTATCACATAAATGATACCAGGGCAGTACCTACATAACCCTAATTAATACTACAAAGTAACACTAACTTCGCAAGTTGTTGTGCAATGTGAATTACACTTTTTACGATTTGATTTCAGCTTGAAACAATCGCCAGCCCCGCCTTTATCTTGCAAACAAAAACTTTGTTTCAAAACAACAGTTTCAAAATAAAATAGATAATGCTTGTTCTTTTCTCCTATCAACGGAAAAGTTTTAGAATGTTTTCAATTGAATTTATTACGTTATTATACGTATTTACGCGTATCGCATATGTATTTTTAAGTTTCCCAATGTTTTTCTTTGTATGGATTAAATAAATATTGTTATTTAACTTAAATATTTAGGATTTAAGCAAATTAGGAGAAGGTACTAAACCGGGAATTACACAAAAAAATATATGTTTTGTCCGTTTAACGAGGTAGGTTCGTTTTTATATTACAGGACAATACTTTTACAAAAAAATATGATGAGTATGAATATATCTGAAATCTGTATTCAGAGAACATCTTAGTACATAAGTTATCTAGAGGTTACGGCCTAATCATACTTGACCCATATTTTTAGTACCTAGACAATATTTGGTACCGTCTATGTTTTTCTAAGTAAACCAGTATGTTTAAGTAAGAACAATAGAAACTAGATTGTTTTATGATTCTGCGTCATTAATGTTGAAGTAAGTGATTAATTAGATAAATATTTATGTTAGATTCAATCAATGGCTGACAATTGCAATGAACTTATATTTTCTTTGCACAATTACGCAAAATTTATGAGAAATATAAATTCCCAAAGATAATCGAAGTCGAATATTAAAGTCTATGATACGATTGTTTGATTTTTTAATTTTAAAAAGTCCCTTAAACTGTACACGGTGTTTTCTAACAGAAATAAGTAAATATCTATCAAATCCATGAAATAATTATCGTGACGGGCTGTATTATAAGTACGCACTACCTAATAAGCTACTTTATTATAGTGATATTTTCCTGTATTTAACAATATACGTTTTCGGATTACGGATGTACTGAGTTGTGGATAAATTTTATAGATCAAATAAAACATTGTTTGAGTGACTCATTATTTAGTGAGTCACGATTTATCAATGTAACAATAAAATTATTATAATTACACCAGTCTGTGCCCACTGTCGGCTGATATGATAAGGTAGCTATTTCATGACAAAATTAATGGTAATTATGTATCGGTTTCAACTTTTTATTGCTTTTCAAGTACGTTGTATGGTTTCTGGCCCGATTTTAGGGCCAATACACCAGTTCCGGTAGCGCAACTACTTTTTGTTTGTTTAATATTATAAGGAAATGACTCAGTCGAAAATATATTATCACTATCACTGACGTTAAAGGGATTAACCTTTGATACAGATAGTAAGTTGCTGACGCAACAATATCTTTGCTAGTGGCGCTAGTGTGTGTGTTCTTACTTTATGCGTCGCCATTGTTGTTAACCATATTGATGAATGGAGATAACAACATTGTGAATCAAGTCTCATGTTATGTATATTAGGTAATGTGTACCTATATTTGATAATATACATGGAATTTGGTAATATTTCGTGAATAAATTCGAAGATTGGTAGAATAAAATAACTCAACTCTAAGGTTGAAAGCGCTTCATTCAATACTTCAACTTACTCCGAGATGCCTTTGAAGCCGTTTAGAAATCAGTCAAGGGGTGACGTTTGAAAGAAAGATGACTCGCCAAGTATTGACTTGAACGCGGCGAATTTCAAGTCGGAAACTAAAGAGGTTTACATTCACAATTACTCGTCTCAGCATTAAAGAATTACACGCCATATTATTTTTTATTTGCACTTTTAATTTGATATCGTCGGCACTTGCATCATAATGAGATATTGTGCGTCGGACGTTACGAAGTGTTTATTGCGGTGACGCGACGCACTGGCGTCGTTGTCGGCTGAATTATCTGTATTCCATCATTCATACACGCATCGCACACAGCCTCACAGTATTGATATAACTTTGTATCATTGTCTAGTGTCTTCAAGTTAACAAAGTAACTATAGGACTGTATTCAGTATAAGTTTGAATAATAATGTAACGTTAAACAGCTTAACAATGCAGGCATAAAATAAAAAAAACTACTGTGGTAGCGACACCATGACACTGGGTACACAACAGGTCATTGTCACGGACTTGTCGCTTCTTAAACAACAATGTACATTAGGAGCAGATACCACAAAAGCAAATTATTTAGATATTTTTGTAACGAAGTTTGTACACCATAGCAATTGTAGTGGCTAGAGTTAAATGACCTTGCCAATGCTACGGAACGACTAATTTACCACGCATCGTCGATTTCAGCTGTTTGATGGTACAGGAAATACGTAGCTAGGAGACTGTCCCCATTGTACAAATATCACCATAAATGTAATACTACAACCATATTTTGGACAGAAACCACTAAAACGAATGTGACCTTTTGTCCAATAACAAAAACAACATATTAGGCATGCAAAAATGAACTTGATATTAAAACAATTCGTCCAAATTCGAATAAAATAAGATAAAAATCAACTGATTTAATGTAGACCCAATGACATAATTCCATTTTTGTTGATCGACATTTTAGTTGATACATATATTTAAACCTAATTGGGTTTTTACGATAGCCATTAATTGTTATAGTAATATTTTAGCTTTTAAATACAAATCCAATAAGGAAATATTACGCAGACTATTACTATAAATGAATATCATGGAAATATCTAATTGCTTTATTTTAAATTTACAGCAACCGAGGGTTGAGTACTTCATATACAAGGATGACATACCGGTGGATGACCTGGGGATAACGGCAAAGGAGCATGATCAGCATAAGTTCACGATCTGGTACAAGAAGAGGAACCTCAAGTCCTACAAGTTGGAGACCAGTGATCCGGCGATACGGAACGCATGGGTCGAGGGCATCACGTCACTGCTGTGGGAGCAAGCTATGCAGAAGAAAGGTAATTAGTATTATTTATATCCTATCATTAGCCGAAATAAGAGGTTTGACATAATCCCCACTTACAGCCTAAATTAATAATTCAAAATTTCTTGGCCGGTCCAGGTTTTGGACAGAAGTTCTATACTTTATACCTAAACGCATGTCAATTTATCTTAATCCAAAATTTTAATTAGAAGTACTACATAAGAAAAGTAACAACTACTCAAGCATCTAACAGTTACTTATTTTATAGATATTCGATTCACATAAGCAAGCAGTGTCAGACGACGTTGCACACATAATGTAAGATTCTTGTTTCGCACGGAAATCATAACCTCGACACAACATGAATGAAATAACTGGTTGTGTTTGTATTTGTGTGAACAAGACCAGTTACCATAACTTGTACTGGTTGTACCGATTAAATCAAATGGTTAAATGATTCCAAGAGAAAAAGAAAACTCTTCTCGAGAAACAAGTTCCAAATATGAAACGTAATCGAGAAAGGCCAGAGGAAAGACATAACATATTAATTAGTTTGAAATAACTTGCATAAGTCGGTACATATACACTGTTAATAAAACTAGGTCTGATGTTATCTCTATCAACACTTACAGTAATATAGCTAAAATATTATTTTACCCATCTAGATAACGTGGCATTGTTTTGAGGCAATTTATCAGCTTTGGTTAAAATGTAGATGTTGTTCAACGATTAGCGATACGCGACCATCAATATCAGGACCGTGTTGATAAGGGCATAGCGCTGAAACAATGCACTGACTAATGATGCAATTTTAAGCACCCTCTATTGTTTGACATGAGCAATAACATTCAAATTATATTTATTGTTTCATTTCACTACGCTACCGTTGTTTGTCTACAAAATTCACGTACTCGGTTTATTTTCTTTAGTTTTATCATTTTGTGTTTGCGGCGACTCGTAAATATCGCACCACTCTCCATACTTCACTATTGTACATTATTGAAGTTGGTCGCAAACACAAAACACGTCCAATAGTAAACAATGCAAAGATGAGTGTAACGTTATGCAACGCAGCGGGGTGTGACAAAACGAGTCGTCCTAAGTCAATACAATATTATATCAACTTTCAAACGTTGCGTACGACCATGTAGTGTAATGTATGCACGCAATGAATGCATCTATATGTAGCATTGTAGAGGGTAATCTTAACAGCCGATGGTCATAAATTCAACATCAAAATGATGACTGGGAAGCTGATTTTATTAGTTCACTAACCTCTATCTCCAATCTCTATCTGCAGAGATTTCCATATACTTTCGTGATTGAATACCGATAGACTGTATTTGTATTGAACATCAACCGTGTCATGTCTTCATGACCAACGTATTTAAAATTACATTAAGATAACTAACACTAACGTTAACTTCGAGAGCATTTCTCACAAAGAAATTCGTTGAGTCCATGTGGCACGCACGCCGAACCAAACTAATTCCCGCATAGTTAATGCGAACAAACTTTTTAATTGATCGTCATCTGCTCCCCGTATTATACGTGACGGAAGGAGCGGGTTCTTTATCACAGGCTGACGCACGCGGGGTCGACGACACACTTTTTTATTGGACACTCGTTGGCAAGTTGCATGTGCACAGCGATGCGTCTCGTCTGTGGGAACGCCAGGAACTCGACGTTTTTCTTTGACGCTGCCGTTGTTTTGTAAATGCAAACGAATATGCAACGATCGCTCAGTTTACTGGTTTGCGTAAAACAAAATTAAGTATCAGTCCTACAAAACGTTTCACACGTTCTTAAGATCCATATCTTTGTATTCTTTATTCGTCTTTGAAGAAGATTCGTATTATCTAACTTGAACAACCTTTCCTTACGGATAATTAGATAGGAGTATCACAAGGGAATGCTGCGACGAAAGTAGGTCCTATCGTTTTGAACTCTCCCTGTTACAATGCCACATTTCTCGCTGAGATTACGACGATAAGCGTAAACTGGTGCTTAAATCTTTCTGGTAACGCGTTTCTTTGTTACTCAGAGCTATTTAGCGACAATTGCTATTTCCTCAAATGCACAATGGTCTTTTGTCTATTGCAACATACCATGGAGTCACAGTAGCCGACTTGATGTACATACGTGTTTGGAGATCATGCGTGTACGGTAACCGAGAGAGTGGCGTTTTATTGTCGATTTGTCGTAGTTCATTTTGCGTCATTATGTGAACATTATCTAAACTATCGTCGTAGGTGACGGGCGTTCGATTGAGTTCTATTATTGTTGGACAGTCGAGTTTATTGTATGATAGCGTAGTTTGAGCCACCGCTGCCGGCCGACGTCCGATACTATTGAATTTTGGTTTAACAACAATATCGCTCGTTCTCACAGTTTCATCTGATACGAAGTAGTTGGACGTTGTATTATATTCACCAATGGGTCCTGCAATTGTTCCTAAACATTTGTACAGGGCTCACTAGGTTTAGGCAAAACATTAATGCATAGATTGAGTTCTCTACTTTGTGTGATTACTTTTACATTCTTAGACAGTTTTATAGTATTATATATTTGATAGTTTTAGTATTATTATACATATGCGTGCATCAGGTAAACTGACTACCGTTTAAATTTTAGTAAGTAGGTACACGCGATTACCAAGTGTTTCACAGAAGGTAATCATGGATATTGACGCAGTTTGTCATTTGTATAATACATATATATGTAGAAATCGATAAATTATACTGAATGGGTATGAATATTTTCGCGGAATAATGGCGTTATCCGTTCTGTTATCAGCGTATAACGCAGTCAGGTGTGGCTTAGCCGAGATAGCAGGCGACCTTATAAATGAATTACGACTCTAAAATTTGTATTGACACTGACAGTCGTTATTGCACTGCATTAGTATTCAGCTAATTCAATTAATTAGAAAATTTCTTGACAATGTGCAATAACTTCTTGAAAGAAGTTTCTCAAGTAAAACTATTTTTAAAAGAGAATCATTTGTAAGGAAACTGAAAAGAATGATGAACACGTGAAGACAATGTTCAGCTCTTGCATACAGAAGAAAATTTGAATATTAGAGCACATTTTATGGTTTACATGGAGTGAAAAAGCTGCTTCTATACGCATCTAACAACCATGAAACCTTTAGAATAACTATCTCCATTATTTCTTCTTTTTTATCAACACGAAGAAGCATAAAGGCGATGATCACTCTTGGAAGTCCAACTTTATAATATTTTACTGATAATAGATGATTAAACATAATCACATTAAAACCTTAATGATAACACAATTTACCTTGACAACTAGTTCATTTACACAATTTAGAAATTCGTGACATGCTGATAAATTATCTGGAGATATCGGTGTTTAATGTAGTGCTTGCGGTCAATACATATGTATATGTAGAGTAGATATACCGTACCAGATATATCAAACATGATTTAGATATAATATGATTGAAATGGCTACGTCGCGGCCTTCAAAGTCCATTATCTAAGTCTATTTTTGTTACAATTTTGTCCAACGAAAAGACAGAACTAATAAGCAAATAAGATTCATCTAAATTATTTAAACATTGACAAACATTTCAGTTTTATTTTGACAAACGAGGCGTCATTTCCGTCTCATTGGAGGAAGCTGGAAGATCAAAAATTTATAAACGTTGCCGTGTCGTAAATTATAATGTTTTGTGTCATTTGAATTGTTTGTTTATGTTGAGTAATTGTAAGACTTTATGATGGTATTTGTATGGCTATTGTATAATTGTATGGGTTGTTCATTACAATGTTGTTCTAGTAAGGTTTCATTTTCCATGGGTTCGACACTTGTATTGGAGATGCATTCCGTAGGTTCACTTCTCGTTACATTTACTTTAATAATTCTGTAGTTCACCGTTCCCGTTAAATGTTTTGCCGATCATATTTTAATTACTTTATTCTCAATTCCAGAACTACTCCTGCAGCAGCGTAATAAGCGGATATCAATGGTGTCCATGAACAGCGAGGAGTCAGCAGAATCAGAGAGAAACGATGACAAATGTAAGTTCTAACACAATATTTCTTGCAACACTAACTGCGTCTTTGTGATAAGGAACGCCGCACATTGAATTTAGAACCTTATGGACTCAATCTTCTACGCAGTACTTGAACGATGTTCATGTAATTTTATCATGCCTTTTGCGATATAAGTACGTCCCATTATTAAGGATGCATTCACATTACGTATTGCAAAAGTGTGTTAGGCTTGTCAAGCTAATTCATACCTTAACGCCAAAGATGAATTTATGGAATACCAAGCGTATAACAGTAATCCTATAGCATTGTGCTCGATCTGGGTTACTGCTGATTCTGGGGTGTGATTGATGATTTGATATGGAAAAATGCATATTCATATTTTGGTCACTGTCATGTATTAGAAAACTAAAGTGGCTAGACAGGATACATAGCTAAATGAAGTAATGATACAATGTCAAGGCTTTTGAGTCCATGAAACAGCTAATAAAATATAAATTAGTCAACCTTTAAAATAAGTCATTGACCATAGTTTCAATGGACGCTTGAACCTGGGATCGAATGGTAATGGACTAAAACATAAAATGAATATTAAGATATATATGGGTGGCAAAAAGGTTAAAACAAACACTGAATTATAATGATGATGCACGTACTTATATATCGTTATTTGCGGAGCTCCTTGCACAATGACGAAATCCTATCACGTCAATGGTTATGTTCGTATCAAATAATAATAGTGTCATATTCACAAAAAACATAATGACTCATGTGAATTCAACATTTTTAAGCAAAGAGAATAATAATGTTTTTTGTGGGAATGTTATAGTCATTTTAGTAGCACTTCTGGAATATTCTCATAACATTGTAAATAACACTGTATTTCATCACTGACATCAGGTACCGCCTCTGCTCCAAGTCTGTTAGATGGTTACGTTGTCGTGAAGTTGCACCAATGAATTGCTTTGTAGGTCAGTAAAGTTTAGGCACGCTTCCAAACATTACACTTAATATATTCTTTTCGCCTTTCGTTTTCTTTGCCTTCGCTTTTGTGGATTGACGGGAGAATGGGATAATATCTGGGTAAACGCTAAGCTGTTCCATATGCTGGAATAGAAAATGAAATTAGACACCTACAGCTTTTTAGACGTTATTCACTGTTGTATCCTTCACCCAAGTTTCCCTTGTGGCTTTATCAGTCCCTTGTAGGAACGATCAAATTTCCAAGCCATAACCACTTGGTGCAAATTTAAATACCCTTTCAACTAAAAAATTTCAAAAACTAATGATTTAGCAGGTGCAGGGTAGTATTTTAGTATAAATACATTTACTGTTAATAATAATTTAAAGGAAACCCGTAATTCTGCAGGTACACTACTGTTTAATATTCGGTGCAAGTTAAATATGCATCAGTAAAAATCAAACACGCTTTTACGGGCTTCTTTATATTAATATTGCTTTGACGATAATATAGAAGAAGCTAGAAAATAAGACGAAATACCACACATTACTTTTCGCAGTAAAATAGTAGTGTTTGCATCTAGTTAATAGAAGTAGACACATACAGATTTCATTACTTATTTATTGAATTTGTAGTAATACAAATATGTTACATTATACAGTTTATCTTCTTCTATATGGTTCATCAAACAGTACTTACTTAGTGTTGAATCCTTTAGACCTTCGAACCAAAATGTGTGATCCTAGAATTTAAGAGGGTTTGTGAGATTTGCAATCTTGACCCATTTTTCCCTAACTCTAGGTTTCGACATTTCTTTACCCTTGAATTATTGACTGGCTTTAGCTGTCTTCCATCTCTCAGTCTCACTTGAAAGCTAGGCTAGTCTAGGCCTATTATGAGCAGTGGACTATTCTAGTGCTTATTTTAACTTTCAAAACTAATCACCTGTTAATTATTAAATAATGAAGTGCCAATCTACTTTGAGTAATCTTTATACTATTTTGATTCTTACTAGGCGTTCCATAAACGATGTTAGTGTTTGACTATAGTACTTTGTCCCTTAGTTTTGAAAAGTGGTTCTGTGTTCTAGTTACTGTGTTGTCTAGTACCTATTTATTTTGCTCATTGATTCACATTCCGGAGAGAGGAATTACCTTTCGTTTTTTCTGAAATTGCATGCATGTCATCGTATTGCATGTTCACTGTTCCATATTCCATCTTCGGTGATTGCTGTTGGAATTCTAATTTATGTTTAAATTTATTTTGTTCTATACCTATCCCATGGCATACTAACATCAATGACGTACTTATTTTTTTATTGTTAATTCCAGATAATTCTCTGCGAGGAGTGCCAGGAGAGGTCAAGAGATTAATCGCAGATAAGAAAGTAAGAAGAACTACTTGGTACTGTGAATGAGTGCCACATATTAAAACAAACTTGATTTTCTTGACTTTCCTGCAGAGGAAATAGGACTAAGTTCCCAATTTCACACGACAGGGGAATGTGTGTGTTTAAATGTGGCAACGTTGCTCAAAAATAAACGAACAAATTTTGATGAAGTTATTTTAAAATATATCAGAATTTTAAAGAAGATTGTCATTATATTGATTTCTGATCGACTGATAACGATACCATTGAATCCTTGTATTCGGGATTGTAAATGAAATAATCACAATAAAGATATTTTTAATGTAACTAAACCCCCTTTTGTACTATACTATTTTAGGTGTAGTTGATAGTTTTAGTGGAAAAATAACAAAGAAAAATAAATAAAAACTCTTTGTTTAGTTTTCAAAACGAATTCAATTTTGAAAGTTGTAGAAAGAATTGAACAGTACAGAGTAACAATAACAAATATTAGAATAGCGCTGTGGATACATCCAAAGAAAGATTTTATGGAAATATAATAAATAAATTCTGTTAAATTGTTACTTTAGATTTATTGGGAATAACAGACGGAGTAGAACTGTTGCAGGATATAAATAAAGAAGAGCCAAAGCATCGCAATAGAAATTTTACGATATATGAGAAATGTGATAAAACGTTATTCGAAAATGTATTATACTTTATGTTATTATGGTAATTTCAGTCATTATTTTATGGGACGTATATTGTTAGAGTGTTATTTAGTTGTTACGTCACTATTTTCTTTGTAAATAAATATTATTGTTACAATAAAATAAATAAACATTATATCGTCCGATGTAAATTAATCATGTAAAAATGTTAATTTAAACACATATTAAATAAATGTATTATTTTCATCATTTGGCTATTTTATTTTTAAAATATTGAGCGTTGGTTCATTTTTAAGTAGAATATTTCCATTGCAAGCTATATTAATAGTTTTAAACAAAACTTCTCTTAAGGCAACATGCTCATGTGTTCATAAGTGTTATAATACCAAAAGCATACTCCCACTCTCACATTGCATTTCTACTTAAAACACGAGATGACGGTCAAGCGATAATAACCTTTAATTAATTTATCACTACAATTTCCTGACAGGACCTGGTGGCTGGCTCTCTGGAACTGACGTTAAATATCTTTTGTTTCCTGATAATGTCAAGTGAAATGCTTTTGTAGACATTAATGGTTGTTATTGCGTTTTATTACTGTGTAGTTTTAGGCACCAGTGGTTCACTGGCTTATATGGATTTTGAATGACGAAGAAGATTTTCGAAAATGTTATTTCTGTTTGCATTGTAGGAAATTGTCTGAATATTATTTGATTTAAAATAAACTGTGGTATTGAAAACGCAGAAAGGTAGGGTTAACTAACGTTCTATATTGATTTTATTGAAGATATGAATTTGAACAACAAGAAATTAGTCATGATATGGCCTCTTAGTAGCCAATCTATGAATTCGTTTACACTGTGGCACTATTACGAATCTTGAATAAAAATAATGATTCTGAATCTATGCTATCGATGTTGCCATCGATAGCCATATAAAATCTGAACCTTATTTACACTTCAAGTTGATTGAGTAACAATAGATAACATCGAAATAACATCTAAAAACTACCTCATTTGTTTGCAGGACTACGGAATTCTAAAATCCCAAATAATTTAACAAATTTTTCGGTTGCAAAAAAGGGCTCAATAAAACTGTAGCTTTGACTATGCTCAAAAATACAAATATCAGCCACGGTAGAAAAATATTTTCTGAAAATAAATGCCAAGCTTTTTTATTTTTGGACCAACCTTTTTACGTGGATTTTTATCATTGAGGGATGTGTGTGTATCATTGGTTCTATGAGTCTAAATATAAGTGAACAATAATAGCATGTAAGTAGGTAACATTTCAAGTCTGATTTGATAAAAGTATTTATTTAAAGCATTGCCAGTTTACAAAAAGATAGAAATCGAAACCTTCACGTTTAAACAAACTGATAAAAACTTAACTGTTCTTTATTACACAGAATTTTATTGCCAACACTAATAAAAATCCACATTTATTCGTTTTTTAATCAAGTTGATATTTTATTTAATCAGCACTTAATCTTTTCCTGTTTTAAACAATCTCATTAGTCGTAAAAATGTAAAATGAAGTAATGAAAAACATTTACCTGAAATCCGCAATGCGAAAAATTATGGCTACGGCTGCGAAGTGGGGCGGAATATTCTACGTGAAGGCTAAATTTTATTGCCCCGCGCTGTTTTCGAACAATTGCATTAATAGTGTATCAACGGAGCACCTCTCTGACTTCTTTACGGCTATGGAGTCGGGCGCCGGAATACAATTAAAGTTTTAATATTTTAACACCGTGAAATCACAATTTGAATTGGAGCCGTGAACACAACTGCCATAATTAAATACATAAAATAAACTAATTTTCGTGCTCACTTGCTATTTGCTCTCCATATTTTGTATAAGTTTTCACCCTGGTTTACAATTTGAGTTTCGTCAACTGAAGTTTGTTAATTTTGCATATTGTTCTAGGGTACTGGATGTGGAAGTGAAAAAAAAAAACTCTTATTAAAACGGCTTTGCGTGAACGTCATTTCTCTACTTTGTACGCACCTAAATAGTTTTACTTAGTATGGTTTGATCGCATAATGCTAAAAAATGTTTAAGGAAAGTTACTAAGTTACTTTTCCTTCATTAAAAAACAGTTAGGTAACAAAATAAAATAACTGCAATTCACAAACAAAATTTATTTAGCCAACAACGATCGTTTCTGAAAATTGGCTCGTTGATACAAATATACAATTCTTATTATTTTTTTTTGTGTTCCAAACAGCAGTTTCGTACAAAGAGCAAAATGACGTCTCAGCGGATGGGGTGGTTTACTGCGCCATTTCTCTGAGCCCGACTTGTTTCGACAGGAGTTCTTTGGCGGCGTCTTTAACACTCCCTCGAGGGTTCATTTATATATTCGCAACACGGAGGCGGCAATAAAACTGCGTTATCCTGGTCATTATTTAGTCATCGCCCGGCCTCCGCGTCTACTCTACGAAAATAAAATGCATTCGAATGACTCTTGTATGTTCGGTGCAATTTCATGCACCATCAAAAGTACCGAGAGTCGTAACTTTGTTTATGATGTTTATATTGAAAAAGTTTTATACGAACTCATGAAAAAATATTTGGAGGCTTAAATATTATTTTTATATCTGCATATGTTTTTAAACTCTTTCATGCAGTCACTGTTCTTTCTCCTTACCGACTCATTCTAGTAAATCAATGAACAGTCTGCATACTGGCATTGTTATTTGTATTGGTTTGGTTACCAACAAAATCCAGACTTATTGTAACATTATCGAGAATCGTTAGTTAGGGGACTGGTCGCGGCCGGTTACGAGCAAGCCATTTTATGAGGCGGCTCTGGGCGTCGCCGCTAAATCTCCTTATTTATCCGGGAAAACATAAACCGAGGTCTCAGCAAAAATTAATTGGCTCCCACGCTCCTTCTTGGCACATTAACTATTTCAGGGTTTATTGTTTTACGTGTTGTTTTGTAGCTCAAATTGATTTCTAGTGGGACGACTTTATGTACTCCTGCTCCGATATTTAGAAGCACTTCATTTTTATATTTCGTCCTGGCTCGCAAGTGTAGACTGAATTATTCACGACCTGGCTCTGTGTGTCGTATAGATAATCTTCAGAGCATGTGTTATCCAGACTACTTTACTTTTTATTTTTATGACGGGACCAAATTTGGCGTGTTGCTGAAACGACGGATCATAACCGTTGGACACAGCAACTGTTTGCAATCCTATCCGTAAACCAGGTATTGTTTTGTTCACAGACACAATGCGGTTACATTGAATACCGACTTTAGAGCTTTGTGATAAGGGATGTTTTCGTATTCATCGTGTGATTGTTGTGGTTGCATCCATTGGGACCTCTCCTTACTCACGCGTGGCGATTTTATTTTAGTCTCTATAAAAAGAGCTTGCTTTCACCTGGCACTCCTTAAAGCGCAGCTTGTGGTACGAGCGGACACACTTCATTAAGGCCGCGGTACTTGTAGCGTTATAAAACTTTGTACATTTTTATTCGAGTACTTTTCGCCAGACAGAGAAACGACTCCAGCAATGTTTGAAATAACCTTCGATTCCCGACAAGAGAAAATAAAAAGGAAGCTTTTGAAAGAAAGTACAAGAATATTTGTTTACTTATCTACTTTAAATTCGTGCTTACGCGACACGTTTCAGAAAAGAATGCAACAATGAGCGTGAAGTAAGGATCGCACATGTGGCCACTCGGTACATTGCCAACAACAGATGAGATTGGAGGCACTCCACCAGGATGCACCTGTTTACTAATACAGACGTCAAATGCACTATTTTATTCGAAGCATTTAGTAGCGTCATGCTATCGGATATATTTAACCGACTACGTCGCAGTCCTTTAATATTGGCTCTACGAAATGTATGAAGGTACGATTTTATTTGCTCAGAAAAAGTGTTCTCTAGCCAAATTTCGCCGAGCCGAGGTTAAGGTACATATTTTTATGTATTCGGCCATAAACTTGGAGTATAGTTTCATGGATATGTTTTTCAAAGTGCGACGAGTTTTAAGAGGGATTTCTTTTTTCGTGAACAAGGCCGTTGGTCGTATCATAAAGCCTTTTAGTATTCATATTGGCAAATGAGGTGGGTGTGTCCAGTAGTCAGGTGTCGTTGTTTAGACACGATATCACAGGCTGCAGTGATCCATTGCGATGGCCGAGTAATCCCGGCTAGAGGCTTTGTCTCACGTCCAGCTTACTTTTATTACCGTGCCTGCATCGCGAAATAAAACAAAATTGGCGGGAATTTATGGGCCACAGCCCCAGCATGGCTAGTGGGGTGGAAAGTTTTCAATTTGAAACGAATAACTTGTTTGTCTCGTGTAATAAGGAGGGTTTTGCAACGGGTAATATGGGGCTGCAATGGCTGTCGCGGGCTTCCTTAAAACTACTTTCTTGGTTTTATTACCTAAGTGTTGTGGGTGGGTGTAACTCTTGAAGGTGTGTGTTTATATAGTAGTTACAATGTTCGCCATAAAAGTACACCTACCGACGATAAGCTGATCGAAATTTGGGTGGAGTAAGTACTTGTTTGTGCAGGTTTATGTCGCGTATATCAAAGATAATCCATTCCAATGGGTATTGTAAGTTCGCGCAATCTTTCAACACTTTTATGAGATTTGTAATGGTTGTAGAATCCATAATAATTTTTCTAAGATTCCAGAAGCTTGAACGTCACAAACAACCAATGTAGAAACAAAATATTCGGAGCACTTATTCAGTATTTATTCATTATTCAATAGAAAGCAACCCCGTACATCGTGTAACAAGCTCGCTTCGTTATCGCCGTGCGAGCACCGCACGTACGGTGACATTGTGGCGTCTCCCGCGACGTTTACCGACCATAACGTTTCTTCTGCAGCAAATTGAATGTTAAAGCATGTTACCTGCCCCTAACTGAATAAGTTATGAGCCCCGAGCTATTGGTAATGAAACTTGAATGACCGAGGGCGTGTAAACCGCCTGCAGGATGGAATTTCTCTGTTTACACGACTCCGCGAACAGTTTATTCTGTTGCGTTAAGTGCCACTTCCGAATACACCGCTCCAAACGACTCCGAGATATTGTTTCGGTTTGAAAATCAAACATTCCAAATATTACACTGACGGGACGAAAGCTTTCCTTTTCATTGCTTTCGCAAATAAATCGGACAACTTTTGTTTAAAGATTTATTTATTATAGAGTTGTTTTGTTTTTAACTTTGT